CTGATGTTTTCTTACTTGTAATGACCCTCTGACGTCACTAAAACCACACCCCTGTTGGTTCTTTCAACCAATCAGGACTTCGTAAAAGTGACTGGAAGCAGAACTCTTTAAAAGTCGACACTTCCTAGTTCCAGTATTGCCTGGAGAAATGAAGAAGTTCTGGAATGAGTTGGGAGTTGGTTCCGTGAGTTCTTCGGGTTCTGATGGAGTTCTTCTGGTTCGGAGCCACGACGCCTCGCTGTGGCTCCACCCGGCGAATGTCCTATAACTGCTGAGAAAGTTTGTTCTGTGGAACGGATTATCTCACGACTTCTGCCGAGTCGCAGCCGCCCTGAGGAGACGCTGAAAGGTAACGTGCCAGGGACCTCTTGACCGTAGCGGACCCATCCTCTGCCAAGGTAAAGAGTCATCACAAGCTTCACTACAAGTGTACCACGGCGAGCTGCGCTTGAAAGGAGCGTGTTGTTCTGGCCTACAGACTTACATCCTCATCCATCTTTTCTCTCCATTTAAACTCCTTCATTTCCCATCTTTAAACTTCTATCTTGCCAGTAATTAATCCAGATACCTTCAGAAATGTCTGTTGTTTTTATTAAGTAAAACGTGCCAAGTTTTATTAATCAGAGCCGATCAGTATAATCAAGTGTACAATGTTTTGATGTTAAATTTTGATTCTGTTAATAAATGACCACATTCATTTTGATGGGTCAAAGAAAATTAACGCCTCATGTCACTGATTAAACCATCTACAACACAGTACCTCTGTCACATATCTGTCAAGTAGCTCGAAAAAGTGAGAACCCGTTATTAAAAATTGACTGTAGTGGAGCTCGAAGCTAACCTAGCCTTAGCATACTACAGTCTTCATGATGCTCTCTGCGCTTTGAACAGAACCCTAAGACTATCACAGAGTAGGTGCATTTATACGGAGACTTGATTACACACAGGTGGATTCTATTTATCATCATCAGTCATTTGGGACAACATTGGATCATCCATAGATCCTCACTGAACTTCTGGAGTGAGTTTGCTGCACTGAAAGTAAAGGGGCCAAATAATATTGCACACCCCACTTTTCAGTTTTTTATTTGTTAAAAAAGTTTGACACATCCAATACATTTCATTCCACTTCATGATTGTGTCCCACTTGTTGTTGATTGTTCACAAAAAATAAAAATTTTATATCTTTCTGTTTGAAGCTTGAAATGTGGCAAAAGTTTGAAAAGTTCACGGGGGCCGAGTACTTACGCAAGGCACTGTACTTTATAAAAAAATAAATATAGGACATTGAGCTTCAATAATGTGAGTAGTGACAGCTGTTTTCCAAAACTAGTACAACCTGAAAAAGCTATAAATAAATAAGTAATGCACTAACTAGTTTGGGATAATGTTATGTATTTATTTTTATTAACTTTTATTTAACCAGGCAAATCCCATTGAGATTACAGATCTCTTTTGCAAGAGAGGCCTGAAGGCAGACTAACATGCATGTTTTTCTTCTGTGGGAAGAAACCAGAGTACCCGGAGAAAACCCGCGCATGCACAAGAAAAACATGCAAACTCTACACAGAAAGACACCGGGGCCAACTGGGGATTGAACTCAGGACCTTCTTTCTGTGAAGCAACAGTGCTAACCACTGAATCATTATGCTGCTAAACTTTCAAAGTAAAATGTACATAGTTTAGGATTGTATTTTTTTTTTCAACCTTTTATCCCCAGTTTTGGACATTTATACTTTTTTTGTTGTTGTTTGTAAAAGTGCAACGCAACAAACAAATGTTTTTTTTAAATATATATGTATTTAAATACAGAAAATGGGGAGGCTTTAATCTTGAAAAAGCTTGTTTCTACTAAATGTAGTGTTCCATATACCCCTTCAAAATATAGGTATACATATGACTTTTGTGGAAAAAGACCAAAAGCCTCATGGAAGGACAGTTTATGGCATTCCATGTGTTTATAATAATAAAAATGAAACTTGATGGTTGTGTAACACCAAGTGTTGTCTCTGTTTTCTCCACATAATCAGTTTGTAAAGTAACAAAATTAGATACAAAAGTTGGCAATGCCTTAAAACAGGGGTGTCAAACTTACAAAAGGGGGCCAAAATTAAAACGTTTTTCAAACTAAGGGCCAATTTCAGAAACTACATTAACTCAAATCAGATACCCAGCATCTTTTCTTGGTCATAGGTTCCTAAACAAGAGTTTGACTGGTCTCAGTTGATGTTCTCTGTTGTGTTTTCAAAATCATAATCAAATATTACTGGAAAAATTTAAGAGATAAAAGTATTGTATGAGGGCAGCATGGTGGCACAACTGGTAGAGCTGCTGCCTCTCAGCGAGCAGGTCCCAGGTTCAAACCCCGGTCCGGGGGCCTTTCTGGGTGGAGTTTGCATGTTCTCTCTGTGCATGCGTGGGTTTTCTCCAGGTACTCCGGTTTCCTCCCACAGTCCATAAACATGCATGTTAGACTGAGTGGTTACTCTAAATTGTCCATAGGTGTGATTGGTTGTTTGTCTTGTTTGTCTTTATGTGGCCCTGTGATGAACTTGCGACCTGTCTAGGGTGTACCTCGCACAGTGATTGCTGGACATGGGCACCCGCGACCCTCAAAGAGACCTTATGTTGCTGGAGTATCAGAGAAATTCAGAAGGATTTTCAACAAACACAACATCCCAGTACATTTCAAACCCAGCAGGACTCTCAGACAGAGGCTGGTCCACCCTAAAGACAAAACACCCATACACAAACAGAATGGTGTAGTGTATGCGGTGCATTGCAGCAAGGACTGTCCAGACCTCTACATTGGGGAAACTAAACAGCCTCTTCACAGACGCGTGGCTCAACACAGGAGAGCCAGCTCCAAAGGACAATATTCAGCTGTTCACCTCCACCTCAGAGATAAGGGACACTCTTTTGAGGACCAAAATGTGCACATTTTGGACCGAGAACACAGATGGTTTGAGAGGGGGGTGAAGGAAGCAATTTATGTAAAAAGGGAAAAGCCATCTCTTAACAGAGGAGGAGGCCTCAGATTTCCACTTTCAAAAACCTATAATACAACTTTAAGACAGATTCCCAGCCGGTTTTCACACTTGATGGGAACAGAGGGGTCTCATCTGTGAATTAGAGTAACAAAGACCTTAAGAAACCCGTACTGTTAAGGTGTTGAGGTGCGACTTGTCAAATCTACATATGTGTGTGTGTCTTATCTCACTCAGCCTTATAACCTGAATCTCTCACTCTCTGCTCATTGAATTGAGAAAGCTCCTCGGATGAGGAGCGAAACGTCTTCTGTTACAAATAAAGTCCAGTTGTTTTTGTATTGAACGTTTTTTTGAATTTATCATGTCCTGGATGACTGAGAATCTTCACCAGCATATTAGTGTTAATGTTAACCCCACCAAAAATATTTAAAAACATTGAACCATCTGTTCAGCATTATTGGCTGTACACCTAAGATTTACAGAGGAAAAAATCATGAGAATGAGTTTAGTATTCAGCTATGACTGATTAAATGCACACATACTTCATTGCGCCTATCAAACAGGTTACACTGAGTAGAGCGACTGTTCCAAGATGGCGGCCCTGCTGACAAGCCGTCAGCACCACCAATAGGCGATAGCGGTCAATGCAGGATCTAGTGTTTATATACGATATCTTTGGTCTACCAGACTCACCCTAAGCTGTTTTCTCTCAAGTTGCTCTAAACTTGAATAATGTCTGATGTTTTCACACATTCACTGTCCTTGGACTCAGAGTCAGTTACAGTCTGACTAATGTTGACTCTTTTCTTTTATGCTTTTAAGAAATAAAAACTAAATGTTTAATGAAGTTTGTTTTAGTTGATTATGACAGTTGTCTTCTTCTACTTTTGGCTTTTCCCTCTTCAGGGGTCTCCACAGCAAAATCATCCTCCTCCATCTCACTCTGTCCTCTGCATCCTCTGTCCTCACTCCATCTAACTCCATGTCCTCTCTAACTGCATCCATATATCTCCTCTTTGTCTTTTTCATCGCAGCTGCATTTCTAACATCCTTCTACCAATATACCCACTGTCCCTCCTCTGGACATGTCCAAACCACTGTCCCTCCTCTGGACATGTCCAAACCATCTCATTCTGGTCTCTCTAACTTTATCTCCCAGTTGTTCAACCTGTGCTGTACCTCTGATGATCTCATTCCTAATTTTATCCATCCCTGTCACTCCTAAGGAGAACCTCAACATCTTCATGTCTGCCACATCAGCTGAAAGACACTGCCATCTCTTATCAGGATTATGGAACTCTCTGGCAGTCTCCACTGTCAACTCACTGCCTTTGTCGGCCTCATACATAAATTTATTAAATGTATTATGATGTCATCAGCATGTTGCTGTTTTATGTGCTGAGGTAATTTTTTTTTGCACTTTTGCATTTGATTTTTTTTTACACCTCCCTCCCCCTCATGTTTCTTTTTCCTTATCTGAAAATAAGACTGTGCCTCCTGAGGCCAGTGGCCTCAGTCACCTCCGTCTCCCCACATCAGATGGAGTTTATGTTGCTTATGTTGTTTTCTTGGACGGGCTGTACTGAAAATGTAATTTTGTTGTGCTTCGGTTCAAAGACAACAAAGCTGATTCTGATTCTGATCTAGTTCTGTGTCATGAATGACATTCATGTACAATAGCACCACCCATGAGACTACTGGATTTCCACCCTTTTATCTAATGTTTGGCCGATTTCCCTGCCTCTCTGTTGATGTCCTGTTCAAATCTGCTCTGAGAGACAACAGTGGAGTTTCATTCACACAGTTCATCAAGGAGCTGAGAAATGATCTTCATGAAGCTATGATGGTGGCAGAGAAACATGCAAGTGATGAGCAAAGGCGGCAGGCCAACATATACAACAGGAGAGTCAAAGGGGTGGAAAATGAAATTGGTGACAGAGTTCTCTTAGCAAACAAGGCAGAGAGAGCTCGAAGAAAGCTGGAAGACAGATGGGGGGACGTAGTCTATACCGTGGTCAGCAGCAATCCTCAGACCCACACCTTTGAAGTCCGCCATCCCATCTCAGGTAAGACAAAAGTGGTCCATTGTAATTTGTTGCTATGTGCAAACTTCCTGCCAGTCCTGCCTGATGCTGGGGAAGTGCCTCTCGTATCTCATCTATTGCTTCAGTTGGTAATGAAGCAGTGGATTTCTCCAGTGAGCAACACACACAACCTGTCTCTCTTACTCCCTCTTGTGCTTCAGATGAGAATGAAGATGTGAATCTCTCTGGTCAGCAGCTCACACTTGACTGTGCAGTAGACCATACTGTTCACATCATCTGCCCAAAGATCAAGTAGCATCTGCAGACACCTGTGTGACATACAGAGGCCATGATGATTCAGCTTCAGCTAGGGATGTCCCTCTAAATAAGGGGGCTAAACAGGTACGGAGTTCTGATGGAAAAGACCTCAAAAACTGGTTGAACTGAGAATATTTGACCCATGCCATGACAGTGGAAAAGGAGCATAAGTGACCCAGTTCCTCCTGACAGCACGAGATGTCAGAGTATCCAAGAGTCTAAAAGGCCTAACATATCCTGATGTCCTCAAAGGCCTAACATTTCTCAAACAGATGAGCATGACTCATGTTTTGAAACAGTTAGGACTAGGACTGGCCGTGTTGTTCGACCTGTCAATATGCTTATCCAGTCTATGAACACCCAGACCCTGCAGGCACAGACTAATAAGTTGAGGACATGGGCAAATTCCTTATAGTGTTAACATAAGCTATGTCCTAATTCCGTGGCCACATCCTTTGAAGGATGCAGCCGTTGAATTGGGACACAGTTACAGTGTAGTCTATTGTCCTCCCCAGTGAATGTTTAAATTTGTTTTATTTGCTCCATATCTCTGAATCATATTATTGTACTTTGGTTAGTATGACTTTGAATTGAATATGTATTCGGGCACTTTTCTTTTCATTCATTCATTCAACCTTTATTTATACGTGTTAATCCCACTGAGCCTCGGGCACTCATTTACAAGAGAGACCTGATTTTAACAAAGAATGATGACAACAGTGGACAACAAGGACAATAATAGACAATCATAAAGGATGCATACAAATTTATATTTTTTTAAAGAAGTGAAAATAAAATGGCATTTAAAAGAAAATGTAACAAAAAACAGCTAGAATGGGTGGTGTAGAAAACTAAAAACAAGAACATGTCTGCATTGGTTTTCCCCATCAATTTAACAGATGTTTGAAGCCACTTAGAGAGGTCAAGATCGAGAGCTTCAGATCTTTTTGCAAGATATTGCAGGAAACAGGAGCGGAGTAGGAGAAGGCCCTTTTGCCTAGTTCAGTCCTCACTGAGGGAACACTGCAGGTAATAAAGTCCTGAGAGCGTACGCTGTAGCTGCACTCACTTTTTACGTCATCTGTGACGGGTTTGTGATTAGCGCTGGACTACACTCCTGAGTTCTATTTCGTATAAGCTTCGCCCTTTCAGGCTGTCGCTGATGGTTTATCCCGTTATGCGAAAGCATTACACTGAAAAAAATTTAGTCCACACCCACCTGCTGTGTGGGCCCCACCCGGTCCGTATAAATTACGTTAAGAGCGGGTAATCGGCTCCCATTTTTCAGCGAGCTAATAGCACTGTCAGAAGAACGAAGAAGGAAAGTTGTGTAGATGACCAACCTTTGCTAAGAATGCTTGGCCCATCACGTCGACTTCCGGTCGTCCGGTGAGCTCTCCTCCCCGAGGAGAAGCTGACGAGCAGTCTTGTTTCAAGGTAAGCGCCGAGGAGTATTTCTCAGTGACAGGTCGCTACACGCTGGACAACACCATCTTGTAATTTTCCTCTTATCGCCGACCCCCGAATCGAATCGGATGGTTCCTCCGGGACAGGCAGCGTCAGCAGCGGCCCCCCACGGCTCATTCCCTCCTGGAGAGCGTAGTGTCGGTGGAGGGGGGCTGAGCAAATGCTCACCTCATCCCACCTCGTTTCGCATCGGCGATCACACCGCTCCCCGCCGACGGCACCCTCTGGGGTTGCCCGCGTAACCCAGGAGTGGCTGACATGAAGGGACCTTTTTTATGTCCCGCGCCTTTTTCCCGCCAGTTCGGATGATCCGGCGGGAGGGTTCTTTTTCTAGGCTCCTTTTGCGGCTCACCGTCCTGACCCTATCTGGCCTCGTTTTTCCCAACAGGGCGTCCTACGGGACGAGGCCACAGCCGGTTTTCCTGGTAGATTGGGGGCCTGGTTCCCACAGCCCGCACCCATCACCAGAGCAGAGGGGTTTTCACCGAGCGTTTTTTCCCTCAGTGCCCCCTGGAGCCGAGCCTGACGGAGGCTTCATCGGAGCAAGATGTCCAGGTGGACTAGCGTCCCGCGCCTCCGGTTAGCGTAATCCAGACGGTGACACCGATCCTCGACTAAGCTCACCAGCATGCATTCCAGACGGCCGCAGCGAAAAACACGTTACACTGTTGGTGTACATGTTCAGAGGCGGGAGGAGACAACGCTCCGTCTGCAGAGCAGCTGACGTCACCCCCAACCGGTGCGCCTCTTTGCTGTCTGCTGGCCTGCATTGAGCCGGAGGATGGAGTTTTTCAGCGTTTCCCTGAGACCGCCAACAGATGGCGCTCTAGGACAACAAATGGCAGAGCAATTGACGGTTGTGGCAGAGAATGTGTGTAGGTGACACGAGTTTGGAGTAAAACATCATTTAATGATGAAAGTGTCCATTTTTAGCCAGTTTGTCAGCTCAGATGATCTGACAGTGGCTTTCTCTCACACCCTCCACACGAAATGAGCCGGTGGCAAGACGGTTCCACAGCCGTCTCGCTGAGTTCAGCCCGTCCGGCCCTCTACATCCCGGCAACAGAGTGTCCAACGTTTTTCCCAGAGACCCACAGCAGACGGCGCCCTGGGCCAACGAATCCCAGAGCTCATGGGGAAAAGATTCAGAATGATGGTCTGCAGAGGGTGTGTGTAAATATGACACAAATGTTGAATAAAACATCATTCAATGATCAAGTGTCTGTTTATAGCCAGTCTGTAAGCTCGGATGGAGTCACAGCGGCTGCGCACACACCCTCCACACATAACGAGACGGTGTCTTTAATAAGGGTTTTTAAACTCACCGTTGCTCTAAGACATGACGAGACGCTTACACCTCACAATGGTAAGCGAAATAACTCGTTGTCAACCTGAGCTGCACGATCCTCACCCAAGCGATGTCAAACGCGCACTTACACGACGCAAACAGCCTTCACCCAAACGGTGTTGCGTTGATGATGGTGCACACACAGCTCCCCGACGTTCACCGGCCCACATCGGCATAAATGTGAGAAAGCAGGTCGGGTCGGTGGAGGACCACGCTCTCAGTGAGAGCGACACACGCTGCATCGAAGCAAACGCGTGCTGCCGCGGCGCAGGCAACCTTCATCCACCGCGTCTCAGCGCTCGGCCGCTCACGGCAGCATAAGCATGAGACAGCTGAACGAACCCAGTGACGAGTCTCGCTTCCAGCAAGAGCGGCGCGCGTTCCACCAGAGAAAACGTGTGCTCCCGCGGGGCTCGCAGTCTTCACTCAAATGGCACAGCATAGATGAAGTTGCACTCACAGCTTCGCAGCGCTCGCCCGCTCATGGCGGCATAGATGCGAGATCTCAAAGCGAACCCAGCGTAGGACACCGCACGCGGCAGGAGCGACACGCGTTTTCACCGCAGTGGCATCAAACGCGCAGCCCCACGTCGTCATCAGCTGCCACGCTTCGCCTCCGCACACACCGGCCCACCTAGACATGAAGGTTGGTCCGCGGTCCGAACGTAGCACACAGGCATGTTCAGAACCCTTTTGAGGAAGCCTCACCTTGGGTCACACGGAAAACATTCCCGCGACATGACGGTGGTCGAGGCGGTAGACTGGATGACATCCGTACAAAACATGACGCATCACTTAAACGCACGTCCACTCCACAAATGTTACGCGGAGTGACTAAAAACATGCTCGCCAGACAGATAGATGGCCAGGGTGTTATGCAAAGGTTACATGTTGCAATTTGCAACCTGACACCCTCCGTTGGAAGGAGTTTTAGAGACAGTCCTGTCATCACCAGACCAAATCTCATCCCTAAATGCAGAAGTCCAAGAGCTTCTGATAAAAGAAGTAATCTCCAGAGTTCCCAACGGAGAGAAAAACACAGGGTTTTACTCACGTTACTTCCTGGTTCCCAAACGGACCGGAGGGATGAGACTGATTTTGGATCTGTCAGCTTCCAACAAGGTGATCATGGACAAACTGTTTCACATGTTGACAACCAGACAGCTGTTGGACAACATCCAGAGAAACGACTGGTTTGTTTTCCGTTGACCTGAAAGATGCTTATTTTCACATACCGATCATCCCAAAACACAGAAAATTCCTGCGTTTCTCCTTTCAAGGGATGACGTATCAGTACAACAGGCTACTGTTCGGTTATCCTCTCGCGCCTCGTACGTTCTCAAAGTGTGTGGAGACAGCCCTGCATCCGTTACACAGAGCAGGGATGAGAGTTTTGTTTTACCTGGACGACCTGCTGCTGCTGTCACGCTCCAAACAGGAAGCAGTAATGCAGGCTCAGGTGTTGACATCACACCTGTTAATTCTGGGCTTCACCATAAATTGGAAGAAAAGCTCAATTTTCCTGGCCCAGACAATTGTTTATCTGGGAGTGGAGCTAACTCAACCACCATGAGGGTTCGTTTATCACAAACGAGAATCGACACTTTAAAAGACCAGCTCCGTCTCGTAAGACGTGGCAGAGTGGTAACAGCTGTTTTCCATCATGAAGCTGTTAGGAATGATGTCATCAGCTGACACAGTTGTCCCACTGGGTTTATTACACATGAGATGCCTCCAGAGGTGGTTTGCGCAACTGCGTGTGGATCCAGAAAAACAAAAGAGACGGATGATCACTGTTCCCCCCCTCCGTGAGAGCAGACCTCCGACACTGGGGAAACACCCTGGTTCTGTCGGAGGGAGCCCCTGTCAGCAGACCCACGTCACACGTGCCAGTCTTCA